GATGTTTAGCAGCAACCCTGGCCAGCCTCTACCCATTACATATCAGCTGCATGCCCTCTCCCACCCCCAACTGGGACAATCAAGCACGTCTCTAGACATTGCCAAATGTCTCCTAGGAAGGGAAAATGCAAAATCACACCCAGCTGAGAACTGTTCTGTACCCATGTACACGCTCACTGCTCCCACTACCTGAAATTACTTTCCTCGCCTCTATGGAAAATTCTTAACCATTTTTTAAGACCCATGTTATCTCCAGTATGAGCTTTTCTTCTAGTCCAAGTTAGAAATTCCTTTCTCTCATACCACCTACCTTCTTGTTGTTCTATTTAATTACAGAAGCTTATATATGTTCTATTTCCCCCTCTGGATAGTGAGAACCTCTATCTTATTTATTCATTGTATTTTTATTGATTTTAGGTGTTCAGTAAAGTTTTATTAGTAAATGATTGTGAGCCTCCTTTTATGAAGCATCCATGATATAACCCTCCAATCATTGACAAGCGAAAATCTGGCTCAATGAATGATGTCTCACATTGAGCAATACAAAATCCCCCAGTTTTTCTGCTGTTATTTTGCCAATGCACACGGGTAATAAAAATTAAATGATATAATTAACTTTAGTAACCCAAGGTGCTGGAAAAATATAGTTCTTATATTTTTATTTGATATTTGTTTAGATTTATCTTTGAATCAACTATTAATCAACATATTTTGCCATCAGAGGTTGTATCAAATACCTTTTGGAATGTGAATAGTAACATGTAGAGACATAGAAATATAAACCAAACTCAGGTTAAACTTAGAAACCAAACTAAGGTAAAACTTATAAGCAGATATATAAGTCAAAATTTTATACCATTAAGACTGTATTTCAAAAGTAAAAATAAAAAATATAATATTCATCAACACTGAACCTGACGATCTTGAAGTAATTTCCAACTTGATTTTATGTTAAATCAGTACCTCTCCAATTATTTCAAGAGATGTCAAAAGTTACAAGAAAACATGAGAAAATCTGACTTAATTGTGTGTGTGTGTGTAATATATGCAGCTACATGACATGTGTGTGTATGTGCATATCAAAACTTTTCTGGGAGAAAGCTGAATGAAGTAGGAGTCTGGAAATATCAAATAAAAACAACAACAAAAGAGTGTCACACTCCAAAAAATTTGGAAATCACTACAAGGAGAGTGCTCTGAATATTCTGTGCCTCGGGGCTTGTTTCCCACATCAGTAGTTCTTATAATCTGAATTAACCCACATCTTTTCTTCAATCTTAGAATTCATCTCTGTTGGAGAGAGAGAGAGAGAGAGAGAGATATCTTTGAATCAACTATTTTGATTCAAAGAGAGAGACAGAGAGAGAGAGAGAGAGAGAGAGAGAGAGAGAGAGAGAGAGAGAGAGAGAGAGAGGGAAGGAAGAAAGGAAACAAAGACCAGCAATATAAATTTTCAAATATTAGTCCCAAACTTATAATGAAAAAAATAATTTTAATCCACAGTTTTCTTTTCTTACAACTGACTCAGGGTAAAAAGATGTTTCCTTTAGTGCCTGTGGTCAATTCATAAGGCAAGGCAATTAAATCATCAAGAAAGGAGCATACACCTATACAGGACTGGAGAAGCATCATAGAATAAATATGCAAATCCAATTTCCTCATGGCTGACAAGTTTCTATTATCAAACTGCTAACGTGTTTATTTGCCCCTCAATGGCTGGATGTTTGTCATGAATACGCATTGAGCCCTGCAGTTAGTAGCTGTGATGGCTAGGTGACAGGGAGGATACTACTGGAGAATTTGCACTTGACAGACCATTGACACACAGTCACATTTCTTTTTTTTTTTCTTCTCTTCACTTAACAGGAATCATGCAGTAGGAAATAAACTGGAGCCATTAGAGATTATTCAGGTTTAATAGCACACATCCTTTTAGTTGGCTGTTAGAACAATGCACAATGTGGCAGAGTTAAACAGAGGCATCAATTATACTCTCAGTCCTGTTAATATTTCTGACAATATTTAAATAGCACATCCCTTCAGGGCATGGCTTTTCTTTGCCCTCTCAGTTACACACCTGTCAAGTGTTTAATTTGCCAAAGGGAAACAGTTTGGTATCTAAGAGCAGTCTTAATACTGAAGAAGCAAATTAGAAAAATTAAACATTATTGAATAGACGTAATGAGGAGGATCTGAGGGAAAAAATTGTAGGCTTAATTCAACATGGCATGTCAGCATCTGTCATTAAAGCAACTATATGATCATGTTCTACATTATACTGCATATACCTTGAGCTTTTCAATTATTCTCTCCCTTTGCTTTTCAAAAGACAGGAGAATTGTGGTGGAAAAATTCAGAGGGACCAAATATACCAATAATACTAACAAAGATGGAGACAGTAACTTGCACCTACTGTGCATATACAATCATACATCTGAAAACATAATCTAGGTATAAGGTAATAAACAAAAGCTAGCCACTATTGATCAGATCTGTGTAGTTACTGGTTTAAAAGCACAAAAATATTTCATTCTTTAGGTGCACTAATTAAATATTATACTATATATTAGCAGTTGGTAAACTATATAGAGAATTTAAGTCTATCAAAGTTTGGAATATTTGTGTTTAAACTTTAATACAGAAAATAATACAAGTTTCTGAAATTGTACTCTAGTCATACAAGACAAAACTCTGGTTCAATAAATGAATGAAGTTAAATTAGTAAAGAATGGAGACTAAGGTAAAGAATCAAAACAACTGAGAGGTTGTCACCTCTCCTGAAGTTGTAACCTCAGGAGGTTAAAAACCACCTGAGTGGTTTTACCAAAAATTAAACTTTTATCAGCTAAGGACCAAGTTTCTGCCTTTGGGGGAAAAAGTTATGTGAGACGGGCTGCACAGTCAGAAATGGGCAAGGGCGGTGCCTGGCAAGGCCAAGAAAACTGAGTTCTAGTTCTAGTCACTGGCCCTCCCTTAGTCGTCATGAGAAGCACGGTGTGGGTCACAGGGTTTCCTTGGACCCTTTCAAAACTTGAACAGGTGACCTAAGAGCCAAAAGTCCAAAGGTATGTGAGACATGTCTTCAGAAGTCACCAACCTCACAGCTTACTTAATCCTGAAATATATCAGTGTCTACCATTAATACAAAAACAACACCACACTGTATATAGTCACAGACGGTGACATACGATGATACTGTGCTTCACAGATTTCCGAGGAGGCTGCAGCTGAATCACACGGGGCTGAGACAGTTTTGGAGTCCGTTCCCTACTTGGAAATGGTAAAACCAGCTCAGCAACAAGTAGGCCCTTCTATGCCCTCCCTTGGGCAGCCCTGGCAAGTGCAAATGCTACTCCACTTACATCAGGCAGACCATAAGGGGCATTTTTACAGTTATCTCACTGAACTAGTGGTATTTCCTGACATACTTACTAGTACTTTTTGTTTCAACTTTTCCTCTCATTCTAATCACATCTTCATAATACAACAAGGGAGACGGCACCTGCTCAACTTCACATTCTCGGAAAAACCAGTTTTTCACATCATAATCACATTTATATTCAGGATATTGGTTTCTCCAAAATCTTGCCCATCCATTCTGAAAATGAGTGTCTAAAACCAATCTTTTCAATAACTTACAAAGGGGACAAACACAACTACATATAACAAAACACCTTTTTCATAATTCATGATGATAACTTTAAAAATCATTAAGTAGAAATTCACTAGAGAAAAATATTTTTAAAGATTCTTCTTCATTTAATTTGTTTGGCTACCAACATATCTAGATTAAGAAGTTTCATGACATTGCTACTATTTGTTTGGGTTATTTTTGCACTTGGCATGCATTTGAAGTATTTTTAATTGGAGCTGTTCTTTCACTGAATTATAAAACTAGTCTTAAGTTTCATTTTTAACCTTTTAATACAGAATATATGCTAGCAAGTCATCCAATACCATTAAATTAATGCTAAAAATATTAGAATGGGAATTAACTTGGTTTGAAGGCATAGATTGACTTCCAACCTTGTGAGGGTAACAACCATTTTAAAAATATTTTTTTGCCCTGGTCAGTGTGGCTCAGTTGGTTGGAGCGTCACCCCATAACCATAACATTGTGGGTTAGACTTCTGGTCAGGGCATATACTTGGGTTATGGGTTCAATCCCCAATCTGGGCACATACAGGAGGCAACCAATCAATGCTTCTCTCTCCCCTTCCTCTCCTTCTAAAAGCAGTGAGAGAATGTTGAGTGAGGACAAAAAAAAAAAAAAAATCACTTACATATTTTTTTAAAACCTGAGAAATGGTGATTTAATTAGTAAATTCAAATAACTGACTTCAATTTTAATTCTGTCATTGTGATATATTTCAGTTTTAATATAAATGCTAGGGCTTTTTAATGCTCATGATTTTTACAGAGAAAACTGTTACATTTAGAAGTTCTAATGTTTATCACCATCTGATGCTGTCATGGAAGGAATGGCTACTTACACTCCTTTAAGAAGTGTGAACTGCAATTCCTCTAACTGATGACAGTGTAATTATTCCTTTTACTGTTAAAATGGAGGTGATTTCCCTTCTTCACACATGATTACACATGCAAATCAAGGCTTATCTGAAATCTTATAAGTATACTGAATGTCTGAATCTGAATGAGCAAGATCACATGAACCATGAGCTTTGGTGATGATGGAAACCAAGTCTATAGCCAACCACTCCAATATTTTATTATCCCTTTCTCCTGTAGAGGCTCTTTTGTTAGCATTCACACAACCTTCAACACAATGTCATATCATCTACAATATACAGCAACAACCATTACAAAAATAACTAGGGGGGGAAAAGCCACAGTGAATCTGAATGTCTCCTTTGGAGGTTTAAATGACTTCATTAACTATTCATTAACACATACAAAAATCACCCTTTCAGAAAAACGCCAGCCTTTCACAAGATCTATGCCAAGCCGTGAATGCCAGCTTTGGGTGAGTGATGTCCTACCTGGTCTTTCAGCTGCTGCACAGAAGTCTGAAGGCTCAGAATCTGACTGAACAGTGGGCTCTGCAAGACTGACTTGAGAAGGTTCAGTTTGTCTTCATTTGCCACGTCCCCACGTTCTCGCAGCTTGGCTTGCAAGCGCTCTGCAGCCTGCAGGGCCCGGTTTTTGTCTATATCAAAGAGCAGCATCCATCAGTAACAGGATTCAAACATACACATCAACCCATGCTTATAGAGATCCTACAACTATTCCTTTTTGAAAGCATAAACTTGACTTAGAAAAAAAAACGAGGGACTGAAACATGTCACTATAAATATGTCCCTCAAACTTGAAGTTTCTTGTAAGAAAGTTTGTTTGCAAGCAGGGAAATGATTAGAGTGTATGATACATGCAACTAATTTTAAAGTACAGAAACTAATTCAGATAAAGTATATCTGAGTTCTAATGCCAGCTATTTCTGCTTTAATAAAAACTATTGAGACTAAATGCTCAGTATTCCTGTCAATGCTGATATTTTCACCTACTAAAAATTTTTTACAAGAAAAATTAGAAATGTAATTCACATATAAGTGAATATGGATAGTCATAACATCCAAAATATGACAATGCCATATATTGAAAAGAAAATCATCCTCTATGTGAGAATTTACTTGAAAATATATCACAGTAATGCATATATCACTTCAAAAACACAACTTTTTAATACTTTTAGAGTTCCCTCAAAATTTAAATATCAAATTTACATATATAATTTATAATTATGATAATTCAAATATTAATTGACCATACTTAATGTACCAGACACAAATCTGCAAAATATATAATAATATAATAGTAATAATAATCCCAGCATCTTACATGTTCCACCAGATAGTGAATTTCTACCAAAAATAATTAAAAACATCTCCCTAAGCACATATATGTGTGTGCACACACACATTGACTCACTCCCTCCTCTGCTCTCTCTCTTACTTAAAAGTGAAGCCAAATTTACTTTTTAAATGGAGCCTGTTCAACTATATGCCCTAACAGATTATATATTATATATATTAAAATATATTTGCCATATGATATTACTCAAAAACAATGAGAATTAATTATCACCAAAGGTACTTTCTATAACATTAAATATGGAATTACACAGAAATTGGGACATTAAAACATGAATTAATGTTCACCATGAGTTCACAAAAACACACAAATTTAAACGAGCAATATTTGCTCATATGCAGAAATTTAAAAGCAAATTATAATAAAGATACAGATGAAACCTTATCCTGGGTCCTATTTCCCATGGTATCTCAGAATAAAAAGCCACCATTAGGTTCATACATAAGAACTGGGTTTACATTTAAGCATAAAACTCAAAATTAGTAAAACGTTGCATATGCTTTTAACTTTTGTTTATAAATGATGTTTTTATAACACGTCAGATGAAACTGTACAAATATAGAAACACATTACCTTAGTTTAATACTAGTGAATAAAAACTTTTAAAAATCAAGTTACGATAGACTCCTGCTACTTAGAACATACCATATTTCAAAGATTCCACTGGAAGGACTTTCAATTCTTATTAAAAACAGTCAGAAAGTAATAGGTCTTACCTATAGTGTCTAACATGTTTTTTTAACGTTCAGTGTTCTTCTCTATAAACAGCAGCCAAAATGGAACTCTGGGCAGAAAAAAAATGAAACAGTCATGTTTTATCAGAACTTTAAAATTATATTCTGAAACTATATACTATAGAAAGCACTTGATATTACTATAATTCCTCTTACCATTAAAATTTTGTTGACTTAAAAGACAGTTTTCCTTATAGGCGAAAATATCTTATTTTGCAGGTAATACTTGCAAAATAAGGTTAACAGCATAAAATCTCTTTTAAATAAGATTACAAACATATGCAGAATATTTCCTTTAAAGCTCCTCAACACAGCTCACTAAAACTTTGGATTCATTTAAAGATTCTTACTCTCAGAGTAAAAAGCTAACTTGACTCTGCATAAGAAATTCTGTGGGCAAAAAATTAAAGTGTAAAAAGCAGAAGGTGTGATCCTGGCCTTGAAAGTTCACAGTGTAACTGGGGAGACAGCACATCCATACCAATCAGAAACGAACTGCGACATGCTAGCAGTACACCAGCCACTGGGAGGTAGTGGGGTAAATCATGGGCAAAAAACTGAATAAAAAGAGTGCTACATTAAAAAGAGATTCTTTAAAGGTTTTCAAAATACTCTCCTGGCTATAATATTCTCCTCTTTCCCATAAAAAAATAAACAAAAAATCATAAACTTCTCAAATGCTACAACTCACACAGATCTCATCTTTCTCTGACAATACTTGTCAAGACAGTTTTAAGTACTGAATTGAGCTCTCCACTGACAAAGGTCACATCACTAACCCATCTTTAATCTTTGCTGTCCACCAATTTTGCACAATATCTCCACAGTTAAGTCTACCATTTGTCTTGCAGAAAAATGAGTCATTGGGAAGTCAGTAATTCCTTCAATGGAGGAAAGAATCTACAACCACATCCTTACTCTCATCTGGAAGATGAGAAAGGGGATTTCTCTGAGGAGGAAGAAGTCAGTCGCCTCCTGTTATTTCTTTTAAGAGAAACTGCGTTTGGAAGGAAGGGGAGTATGTGAGGTATATATGTGAACACATGCAGACCATCAACACCTGCAATTAGCTCTGGGTAATAACAGAGAACAATACTTATTGACTTTCCTTACTCCAATTTAAAATATACTATTGAAACCACCAACTTCATTTCAAGCAGTCAAAAGCTCAACCACTGGCACTTGTTTTAAAACATGCCCTGGTGTCAAGAGAGCCCTCACTTTAACCTGGAACTGAAACCTAAATAGCAGTGTGGCCTTGAGCAAGGGGCCTAGCATCTGAACTCCAGTTTTCCAGAAAACATACTTATTCATTGCATATATTATGATAAATTAGATAAATAAAATATATCAATTTCCAGCTCACTGCATAAATCATAACTATGAAATATATATGCAGGATTAATGCTGAGACCACAAAGATGAGCACTCCAATACCAGGCACTTAATGGTTTCACGGGGAGACTATAACATTCCTTCATAAAAGAGCATATAATTAGGTTTCCCCTCTCAAAAAATTATTAACTTCTAACAATTAAAAACTTCCCAACATAAGGAAGCCCAGATCTATGTAGGTATATTTAATTAAATTGCCCAAGGGGAAGCATGGCAGCAATGAAAGAGCATGGATTAAGGAGTCTGAGGATTTCAACTTGAACACTTACTAGCTATATGTGTTTAAGTCACTCATCTATCTTTTCTGAATTTGAAAATCTCTTAAAGTTCAGAAAGGGTAAAATTATATACATGAATGCTTGGTATACACAATAAAATTTGGTGCTATTCTCTTTCCCTTATAAAATGTTAACTCAGAAAGATAGGCTGTATCGGGATGAGGTGGAGAGGGCCACCCTTTGAATTTAGAGACCCAGTGATTTAGAAGGAGTCTGCAAAGGAAGTATAGGATAGGCAATTCCCAACTAAGAGAAACAGTGCTGTCCAAGAGTTTACCTACAAGCCCGTTACGTGAAAAAAGAATTCATCCTTTTCAGATAAATTCTTATGATCATAAAGGTTTTTTGTTTTTGTTTTTGTTTTTAAGGCTCAAGTTGCAAGTCAGTGACATTAGCTCCCAGATGAAATCTCTACTCCTCTGGATTTCAGTGATAAAAAATTTGTTTGTTTTCTCTGCTCTGATGTCCCTAAAACAAATACATGGAACTTTTGTGTGTGTGTGTGTGTGTGTGTGTGTGTGTGTGTGTGTGTGTGTATGATTTTCCAGATTTTACCATTAGTTATCATGACAGAGACAGGATATTTAAAAAAATGTGGCCCTTTCTATGTCCTATACCCCTATCCCAAGGATCTAAGTATAAAGAAACTCATTTGTAATCACAGAATATTTGAGATGCAGATATGGAGTCCACTCCTATTAAGCAGCAGGCATAAATGCTCCTTCTCACCCATCCCTCACTACCCATCTCTACACGGTATCATTATATAGTAATAGAAGGGTATCTGAATGCTAACAGTGGGTCATGGATGATGAGTAAGACTTAAAAAAGATCCAATACATGTCAGATGCCAAGTTCTGAGGGTTTTTCTGAGCAATTCATGTGACCCTGGATGAAGCTGAAGCAGAGAGGCAATAAAGAGAAGAAATGAGATATAAACACAGTAACAAAGTAATCAACACTAATGCTGGAACAGAAGGAATGATAACAGCACCTACCACATGCTGGGTACTATACAAAGCATATCACACAATTAAATCCTTTAATCCTCACCTAATCCATTCACTTGAGGAAACTAAGGCACAGAAAGGTTAATTAACCTGCCCAAGGTCATACAACTAGTAAGTGATGGAGCCAGAATCTGAACCCAGGCATTCTAGCTCCAGAGTCAATTAACAATTTAACTTCTCCAATACCCTGCACCTCTTGATAGGAAGAAGATTTACCTTACCATTCTCTCCTCTTTCCAAGTTCAAGACTGTGTAGACCTTGCCCCACACAAAGAAAAACTAAAGGAAGAAAGAGGAAGACGACTTGTGTATAAAGTCTAGTGAAATAAGACAGTCAGAGGAAGACAAATACCATAGGATTTCACTCATATATGGAATCTAACTGAACTATGAGACAGACTCACAGAGAGCAGGTTGACAGCTGGGGGTGTGGTTTGGGGGGTGGAGAAATCAAGCAAAAAGGAAAATGGACACATGAATATGGACAACAGCATGGTGATTGTAGGGGGAGGGGAGGTGGTAGAAGTGGAAGAGGATAAATAGCAATGAAAAAATATAATAAAAAATAAACTACTAAAAATAATTATTGATAGATAATAATAATAAGTTCAAGGAACCAAAATGAATAAAATCTGAAATGGACTGGTGTCAACAATACAACATAGCCAACAACCCATATAAGATATGAACATGTCAGAATTAAGTATTTTAGAAACTATAGTAGATATATCAAAGAAAGATCAGTAATCTTCACCATTTATATAAAGTTCATGTATGTTTAAACAAATCACTTTTAAAATCCAAGTTTTTAAAGAAAAACTCCAGAAAAAAACAAGCTTCCTTATATTAATATTCAAAGGACATTAAGAAAATGGCTATTACATTTCAAGGTAAAAATCCCTCAATACAAGGATAAGAATATTTATTTAAATAGCAAAGAAAATACTAGTTCTTTTCTAGCTACTCTTGATGTATATTGTGTTTGTGGCCATATCATTATCTGGTTATAACTAAACCTGTCTGTTTCAGTAGCCATAGCACTGAAAACTATTAGACATATCAATAGTGACTTAGTTAATTCAGTACCTATGAGGAACTACAGAGCCAGGCACATTACATATACACATTACATCAGGGCTGCAGGAACCCTGACCATCTTTCTCTCCACAATGTCCTCCACTGCCTAGCACATTATTCTCTCCATTTTCCAGATAATACAACAGAGGAAAGGAGAGGCCGAGGCCTTACTCAAGGCCACACATCTAGCCAGTAAGCTAGAGAACTCACATTTGAATCCAACTTTGCCTCATTTCAAAGAGCACACTAATTCTTCTATCACACTACCTGTATCTGCCATACTGTCTTGAAAAAAAAAAAATCACATGGTATAAATACATTGTTGAATGGAAAAAAAAGTCCAGGGCAATGTATTAAATTTCTAGTATTTATATACAAGGGACAGAAATGTTTCTGTAGGTGTAACTAATATAAGCATGGTTAGTAAAGCATGGGTTATTTTTACGAGCTTTCTAAAGATTAATAATAGGATGTGAGAAGCTAGAGGGCATTAAGAGACATTTATTTTGCACTTCATTTCTTCTATATTTTTTAAATTTTGTATCAATATAAGGCTGCCAACATTAGCAAATGAAAATACAGGATACCTAGTTAAGTTTGAATTTTTGATATATGAAAAATTTTGTAGTATAATTACATCCCATGCAATACTTGGGACATACTGTATTTTTTGGACTGTAAGATGCACTCCCCGTCCCCCCCCCCCGCAAATTTGGGAGGAAAATGCAGAGGTAACCCTGCTCCTGCCTCCTGTGACCCCATTCCACTGCCACTCCCCCACAGTGAGCCAGGTAAGCTACATTCGGACTATAAGACATACCTCCTTTTCCTCCCAAATTGGGGGGAGTGTGTCTTATAGTCCAAAAAATACGGAATTTATACTGATCACCAATTTGTTGATTACATAATTCAAATTTAACTGGGAATCTATTACTTTATCTGGAAAACCTATTTATCCATATATTAGCTTAGGAAAAAACTCAACTTTTCAAAATCATTTTTAATTTAACACCTTTTCAATTCCTGAAAAACTGTAACATAATGACAGAGTTGCCAAATCCCTTAGAAATTTCTAAAGATTTTAGCTGTGATCATATGATTTTCCAAAAATGGGTCAGTAACACTAGTTTCAACAGAGGATAAAAATCGAATAGGATATTTGGTTTTATTTAGAAACAGAAATGTTATAATTGACTAATAATTTTACTTGTTTCAACAAGTTGTACTGGTAATATGTAGGCACAGCTTTTATGTAGTAGACAATCAGTGCTTAAAACATAAAACAAATCATTCTGCCCAATGCAGATTACATGGCAACTAACAAGTGAAAATATGTTTTATGTTAAAAATAACTCTAGTAAAAGAAACTGTCCCAAATGCATACAATTTTCTAGATATCTTAAACAATTCTGACTATAAGAGGAGTACAATATTAAGAGCTTCTGCAATGGTTTGTGGCTTGTCAGAGTTGCTCAGCATCTGTTACTGCATTTAAATTTAGCATTTGTCTTGTTCATAGCTGCATCAGCACTACCTGAACTTAGCTCTCAAATGTGAGGCTGTAGTCATTTGCAGGTACTTTGTCATAAATTCAACTGGCCATGACAGCAACACTTACCCTTTCAGTCAGAATTCATATTCTAGGATAATGTTATTGAACTATTGCTCCAAAAGCAGACAAATGACACCAACATCACGCAGTCATCCAAGAGGAAACACTCAGCCTCTTTTTAGCAACTTCTGCCTCATTTTTATAGTCTTGATCAAAAGAGCTTTTGTGAGCAATATTTTTATTTTGCAGTTGGCATTTATGAATCTTTTTTAATTCCTTCAATAATAATAATGTCTATTATTTTACTCTCCCAAATCAAAGAAAATCAGGTATCAAGAAACCTTGTCTTTACAAGATATTTCAAAATACTGATTCAAAATCAATAGTCTTGTCCTTCTTTTATAAAATGGAAAGATAAATTACCTATCCAAAGTGAAAATGCCAAGGAGATCAGAGGATTAGAAAAGAACTCAAGTTCTGTTATTACTGATTCGACCACACATGGGAAGCCTACATGAATGACGTTGTTGAGTGGCGGAATTAGAGAAATAAGGGCACAGTCTGGGAACCAAAAGGCAAAGTGACTGGAAGAAAAAACCCTGTAAACTGGCACTTAAAATACAAGATGACATAAGGACACCACACCCAAACGAAAGAGACAGGAAAAGCTTCTGAGACCCCTGCAGAGAGTCCTAAAGAACAGATGGGACTTAGGACAGAAAGAGTGATAAAAGAGGTCCCCACATAGAGGCAAAGATGCATCATACCTTTTGAGAACTGCAAGTGGTTTCTTGCATCTGGACTGAGGTTGAAGGAGGGGGAAGGACAGAAGCAGACATGATGAGGGTGCTGCATACTGTTCTTAAAGAGTTTAAATATTTAGCTGTGAAAGACCAATGAGAAGCAAAAGAAACTGGGAAAAAGGCCAGATACCAGACAATTTTTAGAAATAGGGATGAAAGTGAAAAATAAATAAAAATGGGAGATGGATTCAAGAATTAAGAGCCATAAAGCAACAGGACCTGGCAATATGGATGGAACAAAGATGAGTCTAGCACGAATTCCAGCTTTCCTGCTTCAGTTACTGACTGGATGGTAATACCAATCACCTAGAGAGAAAATATAGAAAGAACAGCATATCAGGGGTATGACTCTTCTAGAAATAAAATCTGTCCTTATCAAGAGTCTAAAAGGCTGAATCATTGTACCTTATAAAGCTGCCACAGACTGAATTACATGCCCCCAAAATTCATATGCAGAAGCTGTAACCCTCAATGTGACTGCATTAGGAGATAAGACTTCTATGACCTTATAAGAAAAAAAGGAGAAGATATCACTTGCTCCCTCCCCTCCTTCTTCCTACCCCCTCTCTCCACATGTAAACACCAAAGAAAGGCCATGTGAGGACACAGTGGCTATCCGCAAGAGAGGAAGAGAGTTTTCACAAAAACCAACCTCTGCAAGACCTTGATGGCAGACTTCTAGCCTCCAGGACCATGAGGAAATAAATTTCTGTTGTTAAGCCACCCAGTCTATATGGTATTTGCTGTGACAGCCCGAACTGACTAATATACAGGGTGGGGGAAAAGTAGGCTTACAGTTGTAAGTATGCAAAACACAAAGTTTATTCTTATATTATCATTTATTAATCATTGTATTATTTTCCATATGAACAACCATAAATCTACTTTTGCCCCACATTGTAGATTTCAACTTTTCCACAGCCCTTACGCCAAAAAACACATTAGTCACTATGACTCTTCTCTCCTCCAATCAGAACCCATGGAACAAGGGCTGGGCTCCTCACTCAAGGAAAGACAATCTAAGTGCTGACCTGAAAGGTAGAACTGGGCTAGTCTCTCTTGGGAACTTGAGAAACATTCTAAAAATAAACCAACCACTGGTAGAGCTAGAGTTGAAAAGAAAGAAGAGGAGTAAGGAATGAAGAGGCACATGCAAGCCTATGTTATGAGAGAGCAAACAAGTCAGTTGATAGAGACAGAGAAACAGAGCTTCAGAGAACTAACACAGCTAATGGCAGGGAAACAGAGTAATTGGTCCCTAAGATGCAGTCACTAACACTACTCTGTCTTACAGAGAGCTCCATTTTGCCAGAGGTAATTAGTATAAGGTTCTTTGTGCTATGAAACAACCTGCTTTCATGTAGCAACCCACTATCACCTCCCAAATAACCCGATCCCCTCACACACCCCTCTTAACAAGTACTCTTTCTCCATGTGAACACTCTACTTCCAATAAGGATGAGAGATATAAAGCAAAGATAACTTTAATAGGACCATGGAGATCATTAAGAATCCTACAGGGAAGATAATTACATCAGAAAAACAAGGCTTAGGGTAGCTGTTCTTATGGCAGATACATAAAATACTATGAAGTATTCAATTTTGATCAGTGCCTGAGAAAAGCTATTAGGTTCAATCAAATAAAACATTCACCCACTACTGAAAAAGGAATTTTTGATCTAACTGACAAGGTTTCATTCTACTAATGAAACCACTAACTGTAAACATTTAAAATAATGGTATTTTTGGCAAAAATATTCCAGTTATAACAGGCTACAAGTAGTAGTTTCACTTTAAACTCTACTAGAAAAATAAGCCAAATATGTATGTCAAAAATTTAAAATATCACTACCAAACAGAAATGGAATCCATAATTTATAAACTAGGAGGAAAAAAGATGAAATAAAGAATACTCAAATAATCTACAAGAGGTGTGGAACAGAGGGGGAAAAACAGGAAAAGAAACAGTAAACACAAAACAAGGGGACTAAAATAAACCCAGGTATTTGTATTCATAATAAACACAAATGGATCAGACTCACTTATTAAAGAATAGATTCACTATCCAGATGTCAAAAATGAATTGAGACCTGTAGAATAAGTATAGTTTAATATCACTGATCTATATTTTTAAAATATATAAAATATGCTACATATGTTCTCTCATAATACTCATATGTACTACAAATATGTACATTTGTGCTCTCATAATATTAAATAATTAATTAAAAGGAGACATTCTAAAATCAATTATAATACCAGTTACTTTCAGGTGTGGACAGCTGGAAGATACAGCCTGGATCAGAGGGAGGTCAGAGGGGATTTTACCTTTCTCTATTTTTTTAAGGAAACTATACTTTTGTAATGTTTTTAAAGTATATATGTAGAAAGTAACTGGGTTGAAGTATTTATGCATGAAATAATGAAATGTCTGGGATTTGCCTCACTGAAATGGAAGGAACAGAAGACACAAGACCTGGGCATGAGCCAACAGTGATTACAACTGAAAGGTAATGCGAGGGTTCACTGCAATCATAATTCACTGTCATGTGCACACTGTGAAATCTGCATTTGAAACTTTTATAATGAAAATTAGAATAAGAGATTGGCAGTAAACATATGAAAATATTAATATCTAATTTGGAGGATAGGACTAGGGATGATTATTTCCTTCTTACTTATTTCTAATCCCATCATCCTTCCTCAGAGTAAAAAGATTTTACCTCCAACTATTCAATTATTTGGAAATATTTTTTTTTACAATTGGTAAATGCTTCCAGAAAAATAATTTCTTCAGGCTAGATTACTTAACTTCCAGCAAACTGAGAGAAAATATTATGAAAAGACTTCTGCAAAAATTAGTATGTGGTAAGGAACTTTCACTTTTACCATTAAAAACAAAATTTTACTCTGATTTTTTGGAGGCTACTCTGCTAGTTTGGCCACCAGTTTTAGATCAAGAGTCTTAGAAACAGAGCGCACAGCCCTGGCTTAGCCAGCCCCACAGGAGAGGGAGCCACAGGGCAGGACACGATGAACACTGCTGTGGTTCTACTCCCGAACTCAAACACAGGGCAGACGCCAATCCCCACCTCGGGAAAGGATGGCCAAACTGAAGGGAGCACATAAACATAATCTGTTCTGACTGAAAGAAAACTTATCTTTCATATATATTCATATGACAATATAAGGAATAGTTAGTCACATAATATCTAAGCTGATACTCTAATATGAAGAAGTGTCATAATAATCCATAACATGTAGAGATACAGAAATCAAAACTTTGGCCAAGAATCCATATACTCTAAGCAAGTTTTGGTAAAAGTAATATCGTCTCATTCCTTTCCCAGGAATTTCCTAATAGGAAGAAAAAAAACACTTGTTGACTTTTTGTAAAGAAAAATATATACCCATATTTTTGGACTATAAGACCCATACCCCAAATTTGGGGGGAAAGGGGGTGCATCTTATAGTCTGAATGTAGCTTACCTGGTTCACTGGGGGGGGGGGGGGTGTCAGCAGCCTATGTTATTTATGTTATTAAATAATTTACCACATTTTTTGCTTTGAAAATTTTTTTCTTATTTTCCTCCTCTAAAACCTAGGTGCATCTTATAGTCCAAAAAATTTGGTATAACACAGAAATGAAAATATTTTATAATAGATATACTTAAACAACAACTATATTTATACTAACAAACATTTATTAAATTAACTTTTGTTTTGAAAGTCACTTCCTTTCATTTTTAAGACTGTTGGCCTGAGGTGAAAGGTTCCTTGTCTTTTAAAAAAGTCTACATGTTCTTACCTTAATGGCAGACTCCTTAAAGCTCAAAGTAGCTTTATAAAGACTTTTACCAGACTCACAGCCACTTCTAGAATGACATATTACATTCTATGATGCTTTTAAGTTAAGCCCCCTTGTTTACTGCTCATACCCAACTATGAAGTCAATTTTATAATTAGCACCGCAAAACACGTAGCTCACAGATAAGCTGGAGCTCCCTGAGGTTTGGTTAGATAACAAATCAGTTGTGTGTATGTATGGGATTAAAATCTCAGGCTGCTGTTATCATTCAACTGACTATTTGAAAGGCTAAACTCCATTGTATTGTATTTATTTCTTTCCTCCTCCACCCTCATCCATAATTTAAAAAAAAAAAAAACAGTCCACACATACACATTAGCAAACTATGGATTCCAGTGTTTTCTCTCTGGACACCCATTTTTACATATTTTCCCTCCATAATCTTATCTCTTAGTAAATCCCTATGGGACGGGAGCCCTCAATTGTTAAGTCACACCAAACGTGGTGACTCAGAGAAAAAATGCAGATGCTTCTGAGAATGAAGATTCAACCTCTTACTCTCTCTCACTCCCAAGTTAAACTCAGGGGAATTCAGGTTTGTTGGGCAGTTTGCCCATTTGCCACCACATTTTCGTGGAGGCACCAAGACTCAACAGGCCAGCATATTTCTTAGGCAGAAACATGCAGGGAAATCCCTTCAAGGGCTGTCCTCGCAGGCAAACACTGGGTAGACATCAGACTGCATAGGCCTATAGCTGCTCTTAAAGCACTCATTCCAGTCACATAATGTCCCTGGGGAAGCCGAAACTGTGCAGAGGGATTAACTCTGTGCGGCAGAATTCCCTGGTGCAATTTCTACACTGGCAACAAGGACTCCAGAGAAATTACTTTGGCTTCCAGCCTCCTGCCCTTTTGCTGCCTGGAATGAGGTAATTCTCCAGGCAAGACTATGTCCTTGGTGCTTAGGAAAAGCAGGGATACTTAAGGTGTCCCCATGGGACCCAAAACATGGCCAGCTGCTGTCCTGCATTAAGACTTATCAATTGCTGGGGGAGGTAATACAGAAGATATCTGTCACTTCTCAGCCCCCTCTCAGTGACAGGATTTTTTCTGAGTTTGTGAGATCTCAGTGTTGATACTGGGGCAGAACAATATGTGGTTTTGTCAGGTGTAACTGAATGATTCCTCAGGGTAAAGTCCTAAAGCAGCAATTTTCAAAGTTTTTCATTTCACAGCACACATACACTAAATTACTAATTCTGCAGCACACCCAAAAATATTTTTTCCTATGTGACCAAAAAAATTGGTATAATTTTAATTCATTCCCATCAAATGGCTATTGTTATATTGTTTTTTGTCATTTTTTTTCATTTGACAATCTAAGGGAAAAGAGGTCAGTGCCTCTGAGTAAACAGTCAGGTACTTACTACATGTTTTAAAAATTTTTGTGGCACAGTGGTTGAAAACCTCTGTCCTAAAAGATAGTGAATGGGAACAA